ATGATCAATCCAGTTCCCAATGCACCACCAATGGCGATCATGGTAATATGACGTGCTTTTAAATCTTTATGGAGCTTTTTATCTTCATCGAGATAAGCCAAATGTTTTTCTTCACCAGCTTCAGCTTGGAAAACATCTTCGGAGTAAGACTGTGTTTTCCCTCGATTTACATTTATACTCAAGTCCGAGTTTTTGTCTTCAACATTCATCTTCTGCAAACCACTATTGTTATATTTTGTTCATAAAAGCAAGAATAAAAAACAAAAAAAAAATAAAGAGTAGACAAGAAAAGTATATATTCAAGAACTTGAAAGATTATATATACCAAATAAAAATCAGTATACTCTCTTTGTTTTTTCTTTTAATTTCTTTTAATTTTTTTTTTTTGTTGCTATTATATGGAAACTTTCAACATTAAGGCAATCATAAGCATCACTGATTTAATATTTTGTGATGAAATTTGATAGATTTCTTCAATAATTAGCAATGAAAAACCCAACACTATGCTTTAGTGTTATACCCCCAGCGTTAATGTTAATTGGCAATCCAAATGCTAGCTATTGGTTTTGAATTTCTGCCCCATGGCCTCTTGTTTAATGAGGAACCAAGCAACTGAACGACTGAACGACCGAGCGACTGAGCAACTGATGGACGATAAACATTAAGTTTTTTCCATGACTTTAACTTGGGAAAATTAAACAAACCTTTCGGGAACGGAGAAACTCCATTTTTTGTTGCTTCAACGCACCGATCTGTCAAACATTACAACACTACCAAATAAACTAAAAAAGAAAACGTTATTCAAAACGCACTTTGATTATTCAAGGTATAAACAAAACAAAAAGGTATAAGAAGTATAAGAAGCGAAAAAACCTAAAAAATCCATGAAATAAACTTGTCATAAAACCAACTCCAATCCTTTTTATCACCTCTGGCGATTCTTTTAGCCTCTTCTTCTCTTTCATATTCTTCTTCTTCGAGTAAGACAACATCTCTATAAGTATGTAAGTCTGCTTCTTCTGGTTTAACTGCTTTGGGTTTTATGAAGAATTTATAGCCAAAAATGCAAATTAAATACACAGGGATGCCAATATATCCAGTGATAAAGGTTTTGTATTTGAAATCACCGAATAAGAAAACAGTAAAGTTTTTGATCAATGCAATTATAATTGTGAAAAATAGTGAAATGTAATCTGCCCAGGGCTGGAATGGGGCTTTGTAAAGTAAAGAATCTCTTGAAATACCTTGTGCCTTTAGTGCTCTCA